AATATAATTGAGATGAGCTGTTTAGCCTTTTCGGTTAAAGTGATACTGAATAGAGAGTTTGGAGACGTTCTTTTCTTGAAATTAGTTACTAATAAGTGGAAGGATACTGCCTGATATGGTTTTTTTTAACCTGTTATATGTTTGTTTAAACGTTTGTACTAATCATTTGATAGGTTGAATACTGTTGCTGTAATAACGACGATGATTAAGACGGCGATAGTTTCGGTAGATTTTTTTGGTAAGATACTCTTGTCGATAGTGCTGAATAAAACTCTATGATCTGTGTGACCTTTGACAGAGTTTTTTTTTGTTTTTTCAAACAGTGAGTAAAATTTGATTGCAGGTTATTTTTAAGGGTTATTTCTCTTTTTTTTTTCATCGCTTTTTCTTTGTGTGACTGTCGACGGCGATTTCTGAACAGGATGGCCTTGAAAGCGGCAGTGTTAGTTGGTGGACCTCAGAAAGGTATGTTGTCGGCGGCTGCAGTGCTTCTTGGCCTCTACGTACTTTTCCTAGTTTTGCCAGTATTATTAGTAGCTATTTGCTTGAGAAAATTCTATCTATCTTTGTGAAGAAAAGAAGAAGAAAAAGCAGAAATAGTTCAGGAACTCGATTTCGCCCACTGTCACTTCAGCTCCCAAAACCGTTATTTCCAATTGCTGGCGTACCACTAATCGAGCATCATATTGATCAACTCTCAAAAGTTAGTAACTTTTTCTTTTTGTAAAAGCTATTTATTCAAAAACAGACTAAAAAATGCTTTTTTTGTCATTAAATCTTGATATTTATTTTAACAAACCTAATAAAATGCTCAAGTATGAGAAAGAAGAAAAAAATAAGTATTTCAGCTGGAAGATTTAAATGAAATTTTTTTGATTGGGTTTTATCCAACAAATCAGTTTGACGACTTTGTTAAAAGATGTGAAAAACAATATCGCATTAAAATAAGGTAATCGGTTATTTATCTATTTGATGTGTTTTTTGCTTCAAGTTTAATAGCCGAGTAAAGTCACAGTTTTTCTTCGCTCTTTTTTTGGGGTTGTTTTTTTAAATTTTTTTTGAAAAATTAGGAGGGATTAAAAAAAATAGTGGAAGAAAAGCTTAAACCAGGCAGAAAGAAGACAACAGCAAAGATTGGAAGATCAAAAAAGCTTTATTTTGTTTTTTGGTAAACTTATGTATCTGCAAATTAATCGGTAATCATCCTCTTATTTTACTGAAATAAAAGTTGCTGTTTTTTTACTGATATGTATAACATCACGGTAAAAGATTTGTAAAAAACTAAAGGAATGAGTGAAAAAATTGAAATTGAGAGTAAAGGCTGTGAAGTTTACACCAATATTCTGATTATCATTATTGAAATCTAATTTTTTTTACATGTATTTATGATGCCACAATATTGTTAGTTTTATTTTTCTGTTTTTAGTTATCTGGAAGAATCTGAGGCATTAGGAACTGCTGGAGGACTTTATCGCTTTCGTCAGCAAATTTTACAAGGAGACCCAAGAGGTGTTTTTGTGCTCAATGCGGATGTTTGTGGAGATTTGCCAATATCAGACATGGTTACAACCTTAGATGATACACCGGAAGCACAGTGCCTTATTTTGACTACAGAAGCAACTCGTGAACAATCTGTTAACTTTGGTTCCGTAGTCATCGATCCTGCTGGCAAGGTAATAAGTTCATCGGGCAATTGCTGATGTTGCGGTTCTGTCAGAGATTGCATAGTAAAAAGTTTTGTTTAAGGTGCTACATTATGTGGACAAGCCAACAACATTTGTATCACAGCATATATCCTGTGGTGTATATTTGCTTCGGAAAAGTGTAATCGATGAAATTGGTAATGCTAGCAAAGCTTCAGGTTCTCAGCAGGTATCACGTTTTACTGAAGCAGTCGGAATACTGCATCACTAGCGTTTCTTCTCTATACTGTCATTACATGGAAAAATTATTTTTGATTTACTTTGTTGCCATTGTTGTTCTTTAAGATGATTATTTTACGAGATAAAAACTGACTATGTGCGTTAATTCGTAAAAGCTGACTACTATAATATAATTTTGGCAGGTTTGGTTTGAAACCGAAATATTCCCTCGTATGGCTAGTGATGGAAAAATCTTTGCATTACGTACAACTCGATGGTGGAGTCAAACAAAAACTGCAGCGTTAGTTTTTGAAATCTAGCTTTACTGTAGAACTGACAAACACTGGTTCTGCTCAAACAGATCGAAGCAAACGCCTTCCTTTTTTTCAAGAATAAACGGGATACTTTTTTGCGTAACAAATCAAAAATCGTTGAAGACCCATTACTAATAGCATATTCTGGGGAACAATATAGATTCATAGAGTTTGCCATTTTTTTACACTTAAAAAATTTTCTAGTGCTGTTTTGTATGCAAATCGACATTATCTTCGGCTTTACCGGATTTCAAATCCGTCTTTACTTTGTGAAAATCGTGCAGAAATAATTGGAGACGTTTACATTGACCCATCTGCTGAGGTAATCATTATGCATAGTTTCTTTTGTTCCCTACATTTCAGTTTGCTAATTTTTTCTTATTTCTTCTTAGTTTTTAATTTCATAAAATAAATCGTTTAGCTTCCCTGGTGTTATTTCCTAGGTTAGTTTACTTTTATCTTCAAAACTTTTACAAGCACTTAAACCTTGTTGAAAGAACAACTAGGAAAGAGTAATCAAAGTAACAAGATAAGAGTTTTTTGATTTTTAGTGGTTCTATTATTTATTTTTTTAAACTGTGTTAACTGTTGTTTTATTGTTGAGTAACGGCTGATTTTTAGGTACATCCAACAGCAAAAATTGGTCCGAATGTAAGCATAGGAGCAAATGCTCGGATTGGTTTTGGTGTGCGTGTGCGTGAGAGTATTGTTTTGGGTGAAGCTGTGCTCAAGGAGCACTGCTGTGTATTACATTCGGTAATTGGTTGGCGGAGTGTTGTTGGGGCCTGGGCTCGAGTGGAAGGTACACCGATATCGCCAAATCCGAATATTCCGTTCGCCAAGTTAGACAATAAACCGCTGTTCAATGCTGATGGACGTTTAACCCCGTCATTAACTATACTTGGTTCCGATGTACATGTCCCATCTGAAACCGTTATATTGAATTCAATTGTTCTGCCATATAAAGAACTAAGCTCTAGCTATAAGAATCAAATAATTCTTTGAAAGGGAGCGGCAGCAAAGATTATAGAAGTGTAGGACTAGAAGCATTCAACGGTTGGAGAGGACAAGAAAAGTAGTATCTTTTATCGATCAGA